CAGAAAGGAAACAGACCCTCTTATTTGTTATTTTGGCTTAATTTCAACCAGTGCACTCGTTTTGTGACCCTTCAACACCACTACTAGAGTCCTGAGGATTGACAATAAGCAGAATTTAAATAAGAAAGCACCATCGGAACCACACAACACTTAGCCTAACAGTCACAGCTAAGATAAGGACACAAGAGACACTTAGCTTTATGCTAAATGCTTAACGAACCTATTAAGCAGTAGTTCTGAACTTTTAGGGCCACGCATTAATCACTCACAACAAGTGTGCCAGAATGCCACAGAGCCCCTGCCTAACCGCTCATCAGTCACGACACCAGCCCAGACGCCAAGACTTCTGTAAAGCCTAATCAAAAAGGGGGTGGCACGAAAACTCTACCTAACCACCACCAGAGACATTGATTTGAGCCTTGAACGCCTGCTAGACACTAGCTCGAACACCACGCTAATGTCAGCCCAACTCTCTGAAAGACTCAGTGCTACAGCTGAGCATCAAAACGAACTCTCAAGTCCCAAACATGTGAGCTGAACGTGCAATCCTACAGCCAAAACAACATTTGGCTCAAAACAGGTAGCTTCCGTTCACCCAGTGTACCGATCACGTACCCACTTCCGATTGGCCAAGTTCTGTTAAATCGCTTTGAGCCTTTAATAGACCCTAAACAACTGAATGTCTGAGCTAAAGTTCAAAAACCCCTCCCCCTCCAGTCACACAGGTCAAGAGAACCTAACTGGCAGGTCACAGAGGTCACAAGAACTCCCTCAGCCAGCCATAAAGGCACAGCCTCAGCACCAAATGGAGATGTGAACTTGCTACCCTGCACCTTTCAGCTCACCAAACACTGTGACTAACCAAATGAACTTTGAGACAACCACCTCTCTACCCCTCCAACCACCCACGACCGCCGTCTGCACCCACCGACAACCGGTGCCTTCAGCCAACCTGCGTCGACAAGCACATGCTGCGTGCACTAAACAACATTCAGCGTTCTGCACCTGATGCCATCACCGCGCCACAGCTTGTGATGCCACAGTGCAAAAGGGGGGTAATGCCAATGTATGCCGCTGCACGCCGCAGCACCAGAGACACTTTTTCCTCCCTTTCTCTCTTTCTCTCTCCCTTTCACTTTTACCAGGATGCTGCTGTGCCTCCAGCCAACCAGAGGGCAACCGCACTCGGACATCTCACCAGGTCTGGCACCAGGACTCCTTTTCTGCCGGACCCGCACTCAGAAAGTGAATGTGCCACCTGATCCTTACAACGCCTACAGAACACACTACCCCAGCGTAACAACACAATACAGCTGGGTAGGTGCCGATGGACAAAGGACTCCCGCACTCACGCTGAGACCGTGGTTGAACACATGCTCAAGCAACTTGAGAAAATGACTGTCACGAGCACTCACAACAGAGTGCATCCCTGCAGACCATCGACAAGACACTAAAGGGAACTGTGGTAACTTTAAACACTCACAGCGTTGAACCCCATGCACTCCAACACTCACTCCATGAAACAGCTGTTTACTGTCTTCCAGAATGACTTTGCCCAAACTCAGCTGATAACAGCCCTGATGACAAACCTGCTGCAGGGGGTGAACTCCTCCATCGACAGCCTCGCCAGGGGTAGAATTCCACCGCACCTGATACCCTTAAGCCTCGTGAAAACCGTGCTGGCGTCCGCCATCACCACGCCAACTGACTCTTTACAAATACACCTTTCCTACTCTCTGGGTAGTGCCATCCCTCTCTGCGTCGACTACAAGCAGAGAAGGGGGGGGGGGCTTTCTCTCGAACTTGCCCATCATAGAGTCAAGCCGAATCTACCGGCTCAAGAACATTGTCAAGGTCAGATTTTGAAAAATAACATTCACATCAAGATCCACACGCCGGACGGGGTTGACTGCAACGACAGCAACACAAAGCCGTCCTAAGCTCCGAACCCGTACGTGTGCACATTGACCAAAGAAATTCACTATCTCTGCCCTAACAAGCCTTTCCTCAGAGACAACACTGACGGAATCTGCGGGCTGCAGATCAGCGACACCCGCTGCCCTGCCGAAGCCAAGCTACGCACTCAAGGCATCAAGACCCAAGCAGAGAGTGTAAGTGACAGGCGGCTCGCTAACACTCCTGTGCGCACAGCTGCACTCACTTACGACCAGAATGACACTGACACCTGTGTCACCTCGCTCCACTAGAGCCTGTGAATCCAAGCACCGGAAAGTGCCATCCTTCACCTTGACGACCTGGCATGATACCATCTTCCATGCAAAGAGTACAAATTAAAACTGGAAATCCCATCCTTCTCCAGGTACCACACTTTCACCCTAACTCCAGAACGGGAGTTGTGGTTTGCGAAAGGGGGGGTGATCCCAGCTAATTGACATTGCTCCTATCGACACAGCTCTCCAAGCTGTGTCTCTACTACCCATTCTGACTACCTCACCTGTTGTCCAAACCTGGACCGCAGACGACACTGCACGGTGTACCTCTATGGTAGTCAGACACACCCTGACACTGGGCTTGACCTTCATCCTATACAGGAGACTCAACGAGATACAAACATCTTCAGCCAAGCTCACGAAAGGTTTCGGACGAAACCCGCAAAAAGGGGGTGCCAAGTCAGAGACCAGGCCAGAGGCAGCTTCGAACCTCATAGAGCTGAATCCTCAGCCCTAATAACCACCTGCTGCATGAGTCATGATTCACCTGCCATCCGTCCATTGTGATGATTGTTGTCCGATTAAGTCCACACAGGGACTTCATCAGACAAAAAGGGGGACTGTAAGGACTGGGCCAGGGTGAATCTGAATAACTAAATACCTTCGTGCTAAAATCCCAAAGCCTTTAGCCCCAAAAGGCCTGGAACTTGAAAAAACACACACAAACACACACACACACACACACACACACACACCTCCCCCACAGCTGACACCCACACTCAGGACAGAGCGTGGTTTCCTGTAACGAGACACTTGTATGACTGACTTGGAATTTGATGTTCAAAGAGAAAGGAACTTCTTTTCTTTAAAAGACATTTAACCCGATATATTCGATGTGTTTTTATGTGTGTCCATTTGCCCATGTCACATTGTAATGACTATAATTTGTCCGTAACTTAAAAGTGAATTATAAATACCCTAGGTGTATTTTTAATGTAAATGTTTACCTATAACAGTCGTGTTTGATATCGTAAAAATGCCCTTGACTTGACTCAGCCAGATATATGTATGAACACACCGTAAAAGGTATGATTATGTGCATAACACATCTCTGCAGTAGAAATGACCCTTCCTAACACAGGTCATAATTTAATTAGACAAGCAGTCTGACAAGACAAAGAGAAATAAAACCCAAAGTCCCGCCTGTAAACTTCCAACCCTCTAATTGGCCAAGCCAACAGGAAGAGGCTGGATTTCTCATAGTGTGATAAATGACGCTTCTCCCCTGCGCTCGCTCTCTTCCTCCCGTGTCATGATGTAACGTCTCGCCTCCGGGCGAGCTCTTCGCCTTTCTTTTATTTGTTTCTAGTTTAGTTGTGTTTTTCATTTGTAGATAAGTCTCTGTGTTTAATTCCAATCGACGATTGAAAAGGAAACCCCGTGACCGTGACATATCTCTTCAGCAAATCCATCTACCAGGGACCTTTAAACGAGCGCGCGCTCTCTTTGAAGGAGAAACACGCGCACGTGACCACGTGACGCGCCGGACCGAGAGACACACACGCTTCTTCAAAGCCATGGAAAGATGCAACGTTAACTCCGCGTGATTTCCCCGTAGAGATCTTTATTCCCTTTTTGTTAGTCAAAGTTTTGTTTTCCGTAGCCGACTCAGTTCACTTCCACGAAGTGAAACGAACTTAGCCGAACTATTTCCCTTTGGAAATGTTACAACAAAGACTGTAAACCTCCGTTCAACACGCGCGCCAAGCAGCCCACGTGACGCTTCCTCACACCCAAAGGACTCAGCTCACGCGGCCAGACAGGGCCGTACAGGAATGTTTCGGCACAGAGAGAAACCATAACATAAGTTGATTGCAAGTATAAATCTCTTTATAGAGCTTCTAAGAAGTTTTAAGATGATGTTCCGTGTTGTAATCGGAGAGGTGAATGTCTTCCTGCCAATGAAATTCTCCCAATTTCTCTGTTCTCTCTCTCCCCATCCCCTTTCCTCTCTCTCTTACTCGCTCACGCGTGTAAGTTATCAATTGTCCAAACTTTATGCATTTCTCGTTCATTGATGTCTTATTGTATCGTTCATTGTTGTCTATGTGTTTGTAAATACATATATCCCATGTAACCGTAGTAAATACATAAGTAGTCATGCCTCTATTAAATTAATTATATATTCATTAGATTGATGTGCTGTCTTTTTGCTCAATTTCAAGTCACTTAAGTGCCAAAGGTCTAAATGCTACAAGCTTTATGAATTACAGATACTTTAAAGAGTAACGTTAACGTTATGTGTTGATGGGCGGGAAACCCAATTCTTCTGGCCAGAGAATTGCGTTTCCTGACATCCTATAAAGTAAGATGATATTGTGGATCCCACAAATATTATCCTGACAATTGAGCTAATTCATTTTACCTGTGTGTGAAACATGGCCCGGGTAATTAACTGCAAGCAACTTGTGGTTAATTTCCGGGATTCACATGCACGCATGCAGGTAGAATGACCGATCCTCCCTTATCGGGAGATTTATTAACATGTAAGACAGATCTAATCCAAACATGTATGAATAATTATTAATTACCAATTATTAATTATGATATGCAAATTCCCCACGGATTAGATCCGCCCTGAATCCTTACATAATTCTTCATAAGACAATTTGACAGCAGCCATGTAGTCGACAATTGATCATCAACAGCTGGCATCATCATGCCAGTTATGGAGATTTACTGTATGCAGTCTATCTAATTACAGATCAGGGCACGACCAGTTAGTGTGTAAACCGATCTGAGTAATCCGTACTCTGGCTTCTCTCCCAGGCTTGCTCTTCTACTGCATCCACCCCACCAAAAGGCACATGCGCTGCCTCCAGGTGGCCCTAAAAGGCAATATAGATGTCAACAATGTTTCAGAAACTGGGATGCCAGTGTTCCTGCTGGCCTGCGAGCAAGCTCAGGACTGTGAGGGAATGTGTCTCAGTATCCTAGAGAGAGGAGCAGACCCCAATGCCACAAATCAAGTATGCAAATGTTGTGTAATTGATAATTATATTTGAATCCTCTTTGGCTGAGCTGAATTCAAACAAACCAACCTTCTGATATCGCACGCATGTAATTTAAATACCAAACCATTTGTTCATACACAAAGGTATTACATTGACTACACAGAATATAATGTAGGCCTCCTAGCTCTGTTGACTGGTGTTGGTGAGATTGATTTTGTGTGTATGATATCCCAGAAAACCGGTTTGACAGCTCTGATGGAGGCCACCAGAGCAGGAGCAATAGGTCTAGTGAGAGCCATCCTCAAGAAAGGAGGAAATGTCAATGCTCTGGATAAGAAGCGATTCCACTCAGCTCACTTTGCGGCTGAAAAAGGCTTCTTTGAAGTGAGTGTCACTTCTGTTGTTGTATTCTTCTATTATATAAAAAGTGATAAAATGGATATAAGCCTATGTATTTCTCCCAGTGATTATGATCACTGCTTTTAATTCTACTTATGCTATTTCCAGATCATTAAGGTGCTGTCTGCATATGCAACAGATTTTGGAGTGGTAACAACAGAGGGGGATACACCGCTACACTTTGCTGCCTCTGGTGGCTACACAGATTGCTGCAGGTTTCTAGCTCAAAGAGGTAAATCAATTCATTCAAAACTCTAAGACAAAATCATTAAACCAGGGGAGAAGGCTGCTTATATTTGCATTTTGTGATTATTTTCCTAATTTTCTTTCTTTATTCCTTTTAATTCATAAGGAAAGTTTATTTTCCTTTCCGTTCTCGTCCTAGAGATAATTTGATTGGATAGAAATCTGTGCAGTGCAGGATGAGAAATTAAGAAATTAAGATATTATATAATTATAAATATTAGTTCTGTAATTCTACTATAAAATATAGTTGTTATTATTATTATTATATATTATTTTTCCTAAATACTTAATTGTTTTATTTTACAGTGAAATATATTACAATAGTATTACAACAACAATATTTCATATAGTTTCATATTTTAATTTAGTAATAATTATAATAAATTGTCCAGCCCTACAAAAAAAAAAAAAAAGCATTTAAAATTGCAATCAAAATTTGTATCAGAAAAACCACAAATTTTTTCCACAAATCATGCAGCCCTACTATAAAAGCAATAATGCTTCTTGATGTGGAACATGCAAAACTTTATTATATTAAATGCAATTTCCTACTTCAGGATGCAATCCTAAACTGAAGAACCAAGAAGGTCTGCTTCCTCGTCAGATTGCTAAGGAATTTGGCCACAAAGCCACTGTAAAAGAGCTTAAGAAGGCAGAACGACTACATGGAAAGTTCTCAAAAGGGATGGGCGGCACAAATGAACCATGGGCTCTGACACTTCACGACTGGTCTCATGAAAATGAGAATGCGCTAAGAAGTGCTTTCGAGTCAGCATCAGACGGCATCAGGGGAATAGAGGTGGTGTCCAGGGTGACGTTTGTGTCTGTTCTTCAGAAACTGCACGCTCCTCTAGATGATAACCAAATGCATACTCTTCTGCTTGCTCTCGATAAGAGAAGAGAGGGCTTTATAAATATGAATGACTTTCTAAGAGGACTCACATATCTTCCAAAGTTATATGTTATGGCATCTTATGGGCCTAAGAAGAAGAAAGCAACCAAGTCAGGAAAGACCAAAAAGAATAAGTTCAATCTACCCATGCCCATCTGCACTGTCCCACCGGATCTCTTGCATCGCCGTGATGATGGTGGGCCACCGCATTTTATGATTGAAAGCTACCAGCATTTTACAGATACCCACAGATATGACCGGGACCATCGACCAGCACATCCTATCGAAGATGACACAACGTGGTACATCGATGAGCCCGAAAAGATATACATAAACATGAACTACTGTGCTAAAACAGGAGATATTGAGTCTCTTAGGTTAGCACTCATTCAAAAGGTTCCAGTAGATGTGAAAGATCGGTTCTACAAGACACCACTCATGGCTGCATGTGCAAGTGGGAACTTTGAAGTGGCAAAGTTCCTTCTTGATAATGGGTAAGACTTATGAACTTCTAAGTGTTGACTTAAAAGGATAGTCCACCCAAAAATGAAAATTCTGTCAAAATTCACCCTCCTGTCATTCCAAACCTGTTTGCATTTCTTTTTCTGCAGAACATAAAAAAGATACTTTGAAGCATGTTGGTAACCAAACAGTTTTGTTTCCCATTCGTTTTCCATTATATGGACAAAAAAAACAAACAATGGAAGTCAAAGGGAACAGAAACTGTTGGTTACCAACATCCTTCAAAATATCTTCTTTCGTGTTCAACAGAATAAAGAAAGTCATACAGGTTTGGAATAAATTAGGGTGAGTAAATGACAGATTTTTTTGGGTGGACTATCCCTTTAAGGAATAAATTAAAGTATATTTACACTGGCATATGTGTATTATATATAAAAAAATTATACCCAAATGATAATCTCATTACAGGGCTGACATGAATGCATGTGATCAGTTCAACTGGACTCCTCTGCATCATGCCTGTCATGCAGGACAGCTGGACATTATAAAGTTGCTGCTGGAGGCGGGAGCTTATGTGGACCCGCCCACTCTCAATGGAGCCACTCCCCTAATGAGAGCCATCGAGAGCTGTAGGCCGTCCTGTGTGGAGTACCTCATCAAAGCTGGGGCAAAGATCAATGCAGTAAATAAGACAGGTACAGTCCACTTTCTAGGAAGGACAGTTATTTTACAACTACATCTGATGGAACATAAATCTATTGAAGCAAATTCATAACCTTTCGCAACCAGTGCAGACTGTTTCTACGTCATTCCCACAATGCCATCTCATCTTTGCTGGAGCGCTCTTATGAACGCCCAGATTTACAGTGCATTAAATCTCTGAGATTGATCAACTGCTGTCATTGGAGTCAGGAACTTTCAATCTTTTAATTGCAGAGCAAAATTGCTTGGACGTTGCCCACGCTTATGCAGACTTCAGAGTGGTGGATTTGATCCAGGCTAAGATTAATACGCTACCGAGACCTAAGGACAACAAGAAGCCACAGCCAGTCAAAGTCCATCGCAAACCAACGCCGGCCTCAACCCCTAGCTCTACAAAAGAAAAGGTAGAGCAAGCGTACTGTATGTGATTCAGCATATCTACTGTACACGCCTACCTTCATTTAAAATCACCATGAAATCAAAATAGACAATTCTTACATTATTCAAACATATACTATGAGACTAGGAATCAATATTTTTTCCTTTTTAATATACTTTAAAGATGATAATTTAGTTATTTTTTGTTTGTTTCTACAATGGTCCTGGACTTTATACTGACACCAATGATATCAAATAATAATATTCAATATTAATACACTTAATATTTAACCATATTATTGATTTGACTGCACTGACACTATTGGATGAGAATTCAACTGAGCTGGATGATGACATCACTGTTATTCTGCAGAACTGTTTTATAGATGAAATTAACTAATTTAATAATTGATGATTAAAGGCCCGTTCACACCGATATCGATAACCATAAAGATAACTATAAAGATATTATTTAGAAAATCTAAATTTAAAAGAATAGCAGAGGTTACACCACAACTATAACCATAACGGCATCAAGAAACGATATCGTTGGAATCACTTTCAGAACGATTTTTTCCAGCTGATAAACGATTGAAACTTTGGCAGCCAATCAGAATCCATCCTGCTTTAAAGAGCTTGAGCAATGAAAATGAAATGAAAACCCAAGCAAAGAGTAAGTAAATGAGTCCAGACGTGTCATATTACCCCCCAACAAGGCACTGGCAGATTTGTGACTCTGTTAGTGTGCTTAGGGAAACCCCGCTGAACCTTTGTTGAAAGTCACACCATTGTCAATGTGTCATCACGTCCACTGTGTCTTGATTACGGTGTTAGCGCTTTATCTTCTCAGCAGGGCACCGTTCCCACTCCCACAGCCTCCTCAAACTCAGCAGTCAAGAAAGCAATGAAGGAAGACAGTGTTATCGTGCACAGCGCTCAGATCACCAGCGGCAAGCTCAACAAATTGGACATCAGTTTTGTGCCAAGAACGGTAAGCTGGACACCACGCACAGGTATGCACAGAGAGAAATGTGAGCTAGGCCTGTGTGAGCAGCACAGTGGGCCTCATGTACTAATAACAAGTGTTTCCATGCAAAAACAGGTGTGTATGGCAAGCCGTTTTAACTTTTATTCATTTCCAGGATATGAATTGTTGATATCAACAATTACATTTTTGATATCAACAATTACATTTTTTGATATCAACAATTAAATTTTTGATATCAACAATTCAATTGTTGATATCAACAATTGAATTCTTGATATCAACAATTGAATTCTTGATATCAACAATTCAATTCTTGATATCAAGAATTGATTTTGAATGGCAGCCAAGCCGTTTTAACTTTTATTCATTTCCAGGATATGAATACTTGATATCAACAATTCAATTTTCACTAGTTAAAATTATAATTATTGATATCAGGAATAATATTTCTACTAGTAACAATGGCAATTTTTGATATCAGGAATTATATTTCCACTAGTAACAATGCTAATTCTTGACATCAACATTTACATTTTCACTAGTTAAAATGATAATTCTTGATATCAACAATTGAATTGCAACTAGTAAAAACTATAATTCTTGATATCTGTAATTGTATTTTCACTAGTGAAATGTCACCATAGGCTGCCATTCAAAATCAATTCTTGATATCAAGAATTGATTTCTTACTAGTTGAAATTCCAATTTCACATATCAGAAATACAATTCTTACTAGTAAAAACCTTTATTTTTGATATCAAGAATTAAATTGTCACTAGTTGAAATGTCTATTCTTGATATCAACAATTGAATTGCTACTAGTAACAATGTTCATTTTTGATATCAATAATTCAATTTTCACTAGTGACAATGTTAATTTCTGATATCATGAATGTGATTGTTACTAGTAAGAAAGCCATTTTAGATATCTGAAATAATATTGATATCAGAAATACATTTTCAGATATCAAAAATGAAAATTTTTACTAGTAGCAATTCAGTTGTTGATATCAAGAATAGACATTTAGACTAGTGATAATTTAATTATTGATATCAGGAATTCGCATTTTTACTAGTAACAATGTAATTATTGATATCAAAAATTATATTTCTACTAGTAAGAAATCAATTCTTGATATCAACAATTGATTTTGAATGGCAGTCTATGGTGACATTTCACTAGTGAAAATACAATTGTTGATATCAAGAATTACATTTTTGATATCAATAATTCAATTGTTGATATCAAGAATTGAATTGTTGATATCAACAATTGAATTGTTGATATCAAAAATGTAATTGTTGATATCAAAAATGTAATTGTTGATATCAAAAAATGTAATTGTTGATATCTAAAATGTAATTGTTGATATCAAGTATTCATATCCTGGAAATGAATAAAAGTTAAAACGGCTTGCCTAGCCTATGGTGACATTTCACTAGTGAAAATACAATTACAGATATCAAGAATTATAGTTTTTACTAGTTGCAATTCAATTGTTGATATCAAGAATTATCATTTTAACTAGTGAAAATGTAAATGTTGATGTCAAGAATTAGCATTGTTACTAGTGAAAATGTAATTCCTGATATCAAAAATTGCCATTGTTACTAGTAGAAATATTATTCCTGATATCAATAATTATAATTTTAACTAGTGAAAATTTAATTGTTGATATCAAGTATTCATATCCTGGAAATGAATAAAAGTTAAAACGGCTTGCCATAGGTGTGTGCGCACATACATTTGCTCTTACTCTCATTCTACCTCACATTCTTCGTTCATTAATCTGGATTATTCTACATAGATATGTCTCCATATAAGGGCTGTACTCACAGTAGGGTTACATTCTTCTTTGCAAATGTTTCCTCACACTCACATTTTGCATGAAAGCACATGCAGCAAGATCTTTAAAGTCCCCCTGTAGTCAGTTGTATCCCTTAAAACCAAAATGACATATTTAAACGTTTTTTCCTTGAAGAAAATTCTTCATGCCTTAAAATAGTTTGAATGTAACTCTTTGCCTCATTTAGTATACGCGGTTCTATGAATATGCAAATTAGCCCCGCCTCAACTCACTCACTCGCGTGGGATCCACTCGTTGACGTGATCGCATTTTTGAGACTGTCTTTGGTTCACTGCACTGCACGGAGAACATACTCAGCAATGGTGTTGACTTATGAATTTACACATGGTTTGTCTTAAAGCATATTAAAATCACCACATAGTAGCCTAGTGTTGCCAAAAGTACCGACTTGACATTTTTTAAATGTGACGATACCAACATTTTGAGCGCTGTTGAACGGATTCTTAAACACTTCTGATTGGCCATTGTGTTCACGTGCTCAACATATATGTCTGTGATTGGCTACAATGATCAACGCTTCAAAAACATGTTGTCTTCACCAAGCGCTTACACACACACGGGAGTGTTTGAAAGCAGCGGATATATTAGGGATCCGCTGATAGACCGAAGTCGTACTTTTGACTACACTGCTACAGACATATAAGCAACATTAAAAGCTTGGTTTTCACCTCAGCAATGGCTAAGCATGCCATTCTCAAAAACATTTGAAATATAAATGTTTTATATTGGCCAAAACTACACATTTTCAGATGCATTGAATGCAGAAGCAGAACCTATTTTTGTTACTCTGAAATACAAGAATTTGTTAATTATTATTATTTAAATTATTCAAAACATATGCTGTTTATAAGAGCACCAAGATTGTGATTTAATTTTTTTTTTTAAATAGTTTTTCTTATGTTATCTTACAATTTTGAAAATAATATATGAAAAAATATAAATATATGTTTTACACATAAATATGTGGGTACAAACTTCTAGTTTAAGAAAGGATGAGATGTCATGTAGCCAAAAGATTAGCATTTATTTTGATATTTGTTTTTCCTGCTATTTGTTGCAGACGTGGAAAAATCAGCTAACCACAAGCGAGCTGATGGAGAGGAAGGAAAGGAGGCGGCAGCGTTTCAGTTTTGAGGTGGACTTTGATGACTTCAAGATGCCATTCAATAAAAACATTCAGAAGAAGTCCGTGGAGTTTGAACTTACTGATTGAAAGGTGAAAACCTGTCTTAAATATCATTGCTTGCTAAGGCAAATTTGCACAGACCCCACAGAACAGAAGGGATAATAATCTTTGGCATGTCCTTTTCATTTTAAGTGAGCAGACAAACAATTTCTACCTGGCAGACAATAAAATGGACAAAATAACTAATCGTATATACATTTTATTGTATAGATAACCCATAGATTGTAGATAATCCCTGTCCCATCTGGCTGGACTCATGACAACATGACAATCTTCTTGAAGAAGAAGGCAAGAAATTTCTTAAGGAAAATTCTTAAGGAATTCTCAAAAAGGAATCTTAAGAACATCTTATTTTTTACTTAAGAAGAACATGACAGGCATCGTGTGGTGTTATCCGTTGTTATCTGATTGTATGCCGGTTCTTGCCAAAGACTTGCAAATCAACTAATATTTTTATACTGTCTGCAAATTATCATAATAAATGGTTATTGTTACACACTATCTTTGTCATAACTGGCTTAAAATAGGAGCTCAGCACTTACCGTTGCTTTTTTTTCAGCTATCTTAGCAACCTGATAGCAATGTCCTGACAACCTTCCAAAATGCCTTGGCATCATAGCGTCAAACTTTGCATGGGCATCAGCACTCTAGTTTTGGTACCATTCTAACATACAGTGTGTTTTAAGCTGTAGTTGAGGGTTTAATACTGCATGTCTCACCGCTGTTTCTCTGTCGCCTCAGAGAGGGAGTAGGTACGTTAAGTAAGATTGATTATGCGTTTAGGAGAGGCAGGAGATGAGCTGCTGCCTACGTGCTGGCATGCAGTTTGTCTCCTCCATGTCTCAGCGTCTGTCGGGCGTGCTGAGTTCAGGCCTTTCACCACAGGCAGCGCTGCGCAAAACCCCTCATGTTGTTTATCTCAGAAAAAACCCAAGCTATTCTATCCACATGCTTTAACAAGAATACATTATCTGCTGATTAACCATGTCTGATATATTCATAGTGGAAATGTGTGATTGAAACTGTGACTAGTAGAAAGACTTCCAATAAAAGCTGTTCTTATTTTCTGTACTTTACAGGTTACTGAGACGGCAGTGGTTTCAGAGTAGATTCTAGATTCTTTCTGGTATAAGGAAATGCGCCATTCGGCTGTCCTTTTTATTGCACGGTTCCTCTGTTTGGCCAACAGATGGCGTAATAGTGTTTACATACGAGTAGTGTCTGTTTTGGATGGCTGTTGTTGTGAGATCCTCAAGAGCTCTTGTGTTACAGCTCAGCAGCACAGTAGCTACTGCAAAATAATATTCAAAACTATTGTGATTATTCAGAGTTGTAATTTGATAAACCAATAGAAATGTAGTGAATGAAATGGATTCTTACAGCAATAGCCACATCAAATCAACGTCACAACGTTTTACTGTAACCACAGAGTAAGATCTGTTTAAAATGTCAATAGTGGCGTCTGAAAAACAAAGAAGATAAGGTGTTTTTTGTTTGTACGACATGGATCTGATTAAATGCACACGTCTGCTGATGCCAGCGTTAACCACCGAATTCGATCATTAGGATTGCTATGCCTTCAAGATCTGTTGGGCATGGTTACATAACAAAATAAATGGTTAAAACCAACAGCAATAAATCAAGGCTATACTGAAGCTATGAGGTTTTTACATATTCATTTGATATCCACTAAGATTATGGAGAATTTATGTAAATGATCAGATACTGTAACTAGCATTGGAGAGACATATATGGATTTTTTTTATGCATTTCTAAATAGTCTTTTTTTTTTTACTAGGTTTGTTTCAGAAGCTGAGAAAGAGATGATAGACAACAAAAGAGCAAACATGAGAGTGGCAGAGAGAGATATGGGGCAGCTCAGAGAGTTAGTGCATCAGAGAGAGAGAAGGACAGGGCGAATGAAAGCGATAGTATGAGTGTGAACTCGTCGGTGTCATTCATCCCTGTAGACGTGGGTAACGACACAGAGCTGTGTGGGGTGAGTCAGGGATGGAATTAGAGGAGTGAATGTTTTATAAAATCAATGCTCTTGGCTTCAGTGTAAACTAGATCTTTCAAGAGCACACGCACATGCAATTTAGTTTTTATGCGTGCATGTCGAGTAATCTCACTTGATGTTTTTCTTATCTTAATACTTTGTTCATTGTTGTATTTAATAGGATTTGTCATAATTACATTTTTGATGGGTTTTTTTGTGTCATTTCACCAAAAATACATATATTATAACAATTTAAAAGAACTGTTGTCTGTTTTAATATATTTTCTGTGCTAAAGCTGAATTTTCAGCATCATTACTCCAGTCTTCAGTGTCAAATGATCCTTCAGAAATCATTCTGATATGCTGATTTACTGCTCAAGTAACGTTTCTTATTATTATCCATGTTGTAATCTGTTGTGCTGCTTCATATTTTTGTGTAAACCATGATAAACTACCATTAAAAAATGTAGGGTAAGTACACTTTTAAAAAAAAAGAAGAAATTAATACTTTTAATTCAGCAAGGGTGCAGTAATTTCATCAAAAGTAACATTATAAAAAGATTTATAATGTTACAAATTATTTCTTTTTTAATGCTGTTCTTTCAAATTTTCTATTTATCAAAGAATCCTAAAAAAAAAATTATTTCGATTTCCACAAAAATATTAAGCAGCAAAAACAGATTGATAATAATAAGAACTCTAATTAATAATTGAGCAGCAAATCCGCATATTAAAATGAATTTTTAACGATCAAGTGACACAACTTAAGTTTTGCCATCATAGGAATAAATCATATTTTTAAATATAATCAAATAGAAAACAGGTATTTTAAACTCTAGTAATATTTCACAATAATACTGTTTTTTACTGTATTTTTTTTTATCAAATAAATGCAGCATTGGTAAACATAAGAGACTTAAAAAAAAAAATTTTTACCAATAATCTGTGTTCTACTTTTGTTAATCTGGTCATGTAGTGCTGTGCTAAGACTTTGTTCTGCTCCATCTGAAATGATATGCCTTGTTTTCGGGGTCGAAAGTCTTTCCTTGCAGCACTGCAGTGTTTCTACTCATACACACCCCCACACGGAGCTTACTCAGCATTCTCGTTCCTCCTGGGACCAAGGGGAGACGGAGTACTCTGCTGGCCAGGCTTGGCCTGAGCCGTGTTTGTTTGTGTTTTATTCAGTGCCTGTCACAGCTCTGCCCCACTACCAGGGGCCGCTGATCTGAGCACAGCCGACTGGCTCTGTCCTGACAGAGTTAAGACCCTCCTGCAGACCCATCATTCTCAGTTCAGAGACTGGGCATCCGCATACACTTGAGTAGACACAGAATAGCCATATAGGTATTAGTGTTGTACAATATCATATGACCTGTGAATCAGTGTTTTATGAGGTCTGCAGAATACGATGTGACCGTTTTGTCGTAATAAGTCCCCTGATGCCCATATACAGCAACTTTCTTACACATACTGGTGAAGGGTAGTCTGTCAGTCACAATAAAAAAGGTCATCACTGGTTTATTTGGGTAATTCTTGTAAGGTGGAGGAATGTGGAGATGTTTACAACCTCCTATGTGAAGCACTTAAAATAGTGCTAATACTGTATATATGGACAGAAAACCAAAATTCAAGTTATTTGGACAGAAAATCCATATCATTACAAAGTAGCGAATAAAAAAAATTGTGCTGCTTACATTTTTTTTGTAAATCATGATACATTTATTCATCATTCATTGATGAATAGAAAGTACAAAAGAACAATGATTATTTGAAATAGAAATCTTTTGTAACATCATAAATGTCTTTGCTATCATCCATCCTTGCTGAATAAAAGCGCTTATAATCTTAATAGAGCTTAATAATCTTACTGACCCCAAACCTTTGAACAATATTGCATATATATGCCTCAACCTAGATAAAATGTTAGGCACAGCGGTATCTCTAAAAGTAATATTTTCTTTCAAGTTAGTACCAAAACAACTCTTTTTCTTTCTCTGATGTTCAGTGAGATTTTCCTACCAGCAGCCTTAAATACAGTTGCTGTTGTTGTAGAGTGAAGGATTATTTTGGTTTGAGTTCCTCACTCAAGTTCTTTTCCCAAGTAGTTGGTGTACAATTTCAGTCGATAGAAGCTGATGGCAGAAGTTCAAGTGTCTTGCTGTTGAGCATTTTTATGCAATTACCATTTGCATTTGGCATCCATTCTTTGTAGCATCCCCTTTGCCTTCCCAGCCATCTTTTACTTGCTGTCCTTAGTTTATTTTGGTACCCAGCCAGGGGAACATGACAACAAACGATACAGATGCAGGCACAAAATTTTCTCAGCCAGGTTACTTTCATTGGTTTTAAAATTGACAAGAAATAGTCTTGAAACCAATGCCAGTGAAGACCCAGTAATACGATGAGTAATGTAATCACCACGGTGGTCATTTAGCATTTGAATCAGGCATATGCAAGAACGCTCTTGAGAATGCCCAGGCAGACATTAATCTTTAATCTCACTACCAGATGCTGTGAGGAAAGAAATTATATTGTCTTGTTGCCATTCCAGCAGTCTGAAAAAGCAAGTTTTATGAACCCTCCAGTGATAATATCACTAATGTATGATTGTGTTGTAGTCAGGTCTAACACACTGGGGTTGAGCGGCATGCAGTGTTGGGGTAAGTGCCCATATATCAGTGACAGGGTGCTGAGGATGAGAGCGTGAGGCTTAGCAATGCGGAGCCAGCAGGGTGAAGCTGGCAGAGATCTGCTCTGCACTCCATCGATCCGTTTTTTCTGGAGTGGGTCACGGTTTCAGTGCTGGGCAGTTTCATTTTCACTGCAGTGGAGGCGTCTGCTGTTCCACCTCTGGGCACAAACAAAGCCACATAAAAACACACGCACACACTTGCATAGCTGGAAGCCACGGTTCATTAAGCGGCAGGAGGCACTGAGGTACTAGTTTCCCTTAGAGCAGCCCTTAAGGGTAAGATCTGCCATTAACAGCATGGCAAAAAATGCTGCATCAGGTCTGCAAGAGATACTGTGTGTGTTGCAGGCACTAGACATGACAGTCTGGGTCAAGGTCCTGGTGCTCTACACTCTTAGACCGTGTTTAAGCCGCACGAGAGTGGCACGATGCAGAAAAAAAGACAATAGAACCCATTATAATCAGTGATGCTGATTGTCTTGTTGCCATTCCAGCAGTCTGAAAAAGCTATTTTTATGAACCCGTCAGTGAATCACTGACAGTGATAATATTACTAATGTACGATTGTGTTGTAGTCAGGTCTAACGCACTAGGGTTGAGCGGCGTCTACATTGGATGCGACATGACATGACCTTCACAATAACAAAAAAAGTTATTTTAAAGGGTTAGTTCACCCAAATATGAAAATGTTGTCATTAATTACTCGCCCTCAAGACATTCGTTCATCTTCGGAACACATATTAAGATCTTTTTGATGAAATCTGAGAGCTTTCTGTCCCTCCATTGATAGCTTTGCAACTACCACTTTGACGCTTCAAAAAGTTCATAAAGAGATCGTGAAACTAATCCATTTGAATTGAATGATTTAATTTAGTTTCGGATAAGACACGATCACTTTATATGATGAACAGATTGAATTTAGGCTTTTATTCACATATAAATCAAAAGAGTTCACAACTGACTCCTTCACTGAAACAATGAGTAATTTTACAGTTATGTCAGATTCAAAATAAACTGGCAACCTTGTACTGGAATACACACTTAAGGATCCTTGGGAATAAAACTGTAAAGTGGGTTAAAGTATGAGCTATAATCAACACGATATTTCACTTTGTTTAAAAACAAAACAAAAAAAAACAGGTAAAAAGTTATTTCTGTCAGGACCACTATCGACAATAGACAATTAGCATACAGTTTGGATTGGCGGGATGGTTCCGTTCTGGGCGAGAACTCCCTGCGCATCCATGCAGCCTAGCATGGATAAGAGCAGGGACAGCAGCAATAACCCCCCTTAGGGTAAACAGAACAGAACCAACATGAATGTATTGCAGATATCATTAATTCAAGATTTTAAAGTACAACATAATTCGAGAATTTATTCAGATTCAAGGGGAATCAGAATGCCAAATCCTGACTGGGCGAGAGGAGGAGCTGGGGATGGAGGAGGGTAATTAGCTCCTGAGAAACGCGAGAGCTGCTGATAATACTGAAGGAGCTTATATATGTATACAGACAGTGATAGGCGTCGTATTCCTATAGGTAGACGTGGAACAGCTGAGAGTCAGCTGATGCGAGCTTGACTAACGTGACCTGCCAGAACTGACGCTATGCTTGATATTTATATGGCAAAATACAATCATTATATGCCATAATCAAATGGGTACTAAACCTCTTTTTAAAAAGTCATGAACATGAAATTTCTTATAGTATTTAATTAAAAAGTAGTTGAACATTTTTCCTTTTAGCTCATATTGTATTTCTTAAAAAGCTGAATGTGTTAAGCCAGGCATTCATTATAATGAAATTATTCCGCGTTCATTTTTTTCTTAACTTTCTTTTTTACAGGTTTTACAAAGCAACATCACAATCTTTCCAAGTACTCCCTGGAACCTGCTTCAGTACTCTTGGTTGGGAATCGCTGCTCTACAGCAACATAATCAAGCAGGAAGGGAAGCGTTCATCAAATTCATGCACATTATGACACAACGTGGCTTGAGGACATCCGCTTTCACCTCTTCACACGCTTTCTATATGAACGTGAGCATCTCTGCAGGAAAAAAAAATGAAGCTGCAGGTGACGCATGAGGAGAGAAAACCCCCATGTTTCCATGGCAACATGCAGGTGAAGGCATCAAGGACTAATCTGGTGTTCCATCTATGAAGCTTAAGCATTGTTACACTAGTCTTCCCTTAAATCCATCACACACACTCGTTCACCATTATCTGGATTCTGCTGATGTCTCCAACTAAGCCTGAAATGATAATGATCACAAACAGGCAGGTTTGCCTCACCAATCAGAACACTGCACTACTCACAGCGGAGAAGGAGAAAGGAGAAGGAGAAAAAGACCGAAAGACCCACTTCCAATCTATTTTCCAAACAATAACACACAGACGCTAAAAAAAAAGTGCAATCAGCTGAAAACTTTCATGCTGTAGCAAGAAGCAAGTCTGCATGGTCTAACACTATGTATATGTCCTGATGTCCTTGTTTTGAGAGTGTGGTCATTACGTCTGCTCACTGGACACATCAGATGTAGTCATGCAGTAAGAGCATCTCAGCTGTTCCACAGTTCTTCTCATGATGCAAATGAGCAAGTGCATCACTGCAAAAATCATTGATTTAATTAGTATTTTTGTCTTGATTTCCTGTAAAAATCGAAACATCCTTTGAACAAGATTAATTTACTTGAGAAGAGGCGTATTGAGAATGTCTTTAAAATCCCAACTCAGTTCCTGAATTTGAATTGAGGTAGCAAACAGGATGCAGAATTATAATCGAATATATACAGTATATATGAGCCAAAGCATTATGACCACCTGCCTAACATGCTGTTGGTCCTCCATGTGCTGCCCCGCAGAGGCATATACTCTACTACAAGTCCCCTGAAGGTGTCCTGTGGTATCTGGCATCAAGATGTTAGCAGCAGATCCTTCAAGTCCTGTAGGTTGCGAGGTGGAGCTGCTGTGGATCACACTTGTCGGTCAAGCACATCCCAAAGATGCTCAGTTGGACTGAGATCTGGGGAATTTGGAGGCCAGGGCAACACCTTGATCTCTTCATCATGTTGCTCAAACCATTCCTTAAAGGGGTCATATAATGGTACATGCACTTTTACAAGTTGATTGTACTGAAATGTGTGTTGGCAGTGCCTGTACACAACCATCATAAAATGATAAAAATCCATCCAGTGTTTTTGTTTTAATCTCCTTATATGTTTTCCCCTGCCTCAAATTGAGCCGTTCGATTTTGTGACGTCACACGCTCGGAAGCCCCTCCCACGATTGTTGATTGACAGCATCGTTTCAACACAGACCCGCCCTCGCTCGTGAGCGAGCTGTCAATCATAGTCTGCGCGGACCAGCGCGGTCATTGTTGATGTGCCGGAGCACTGTCTATGAGCAGAATGGCGTCTAAGCGATTGTGTTGTTCTGTTCTTGGGTGTAATAACGAACACAGCAGTCATTTTAATGTTCCTTAATCCGAACCGCTGAAGACGCAGTGGCGGAGTTTGTTTTCGAAGGGAATATTCCCCACGAGCAACGTCAATGCTCTCATGTTTGCGCGAATCATTTCTCACCAGACTGCTTTATAAACGAGGGTCAGTATAAAGCTGGATTTGCTAAGAAGCTGCTCCTGAAAAAAGGATCGGTACCAGCTATTCGTGTTCCTGCTGAACCTCTAGAACAACTGAAGTGAGTGTAACGTTTTATTAAACTTTATATTAATATTTATATTAATCTTTGCAAATCGCTAGCTGCACGCTTCACAATGAATGCGTCTAAGGTTTACACTTAGGGTACATTACGGCATGTTTTCTATGTATGATGTTCTCAAAATAATTAATAATCCCACGTTTATACTGAACAATGCGTTATGGTTATTGTGTTATTGTGTTACAAACGGTGTACGCACAGAACAGAGAGGCGGGGTGAGCAAAGCTCATTATCATTTAAAGTCATATGCACTGAAACGGCGTGCTGAAAACAGAGCTGTTTTTGACCAAGTAAAATAAGTGTCCGCATCAAAGTGTCCAGTCAAATTTACGTCCACATGAATGGCCAGTCCCAGGGTTTCCCAGCAGAACATTGCCCAGAGCTTCACACTTTCTCCACCGGCTTGTCAAAAGGTGCACAAGTACCCGGCCATCCACGTGATGTAAAAGAAAACGGGACTCATCGGACTAGACGGCCTTCTTCCACTGCTTAAAGGTCCAGTTCCGAGTCGCTTTCAATGGTGGACAGGGGTCATCACAGGCACTCTGATTGGTCTGCGGATACACAGTCCCATACGCAGCAGAGTGTGATGCACTTTGTGTTGTTACACATTCCTCCCATAACATCATTAAAGTTTTGTGTGACTTGTGGCACTAGACCTTTTGTTGGCTCAGACGGGATAGCCTTCGTTGCCCTCGTGCATCGATGAGACTTGGGGGCCCAACACCCTGTCGCCGGTTTGTGGTTTGTCCCTCTTCAGACCACTGTTGGTAAATACTCATCACTGCTGCCCCACAATCCTTCCCATTTCAGAGATACTCTGACCCAGTTAGTTGCCTTGCCATAACAATTTGCCCCTTATAAAAGTCTCTCAGATCTTTATTGAGTGAGTTGATTTTTTTTTAATTATAACTAATTTTATTCCTGTCATTTAAATTCAAATTCAAATTTCAACTTTCTGTGTGTTGCTCAATTAAAATTCCAAATGGATTGAAGAGGAGCAAATTTATTAAGAGTAATTTATTATGATAGCTAATTAAAAAATAAAACAAAGTAAAGATACATTTCTTATCTTAAGGATTTAAAAAAAATGTCTACTGGGAAACCAGACAAAAACACTGATTAAGAAAATCATTATTTACTGTGCACACAAGCATTCTTTACACCGCCATAGGTGAGCAAATGGACAAATGACCACTTTACATGCATGTGGAGACTGGAAAGAGGAAGTGCACACATTCAATTGGCAAAAGTATAAGACGTCCAGTTAATTGGCTAGAAGGGATATCACATTCCAGCCTAATGCACACATGGCGTGTTCAAAACTATTCTCTAGTCTACATTATCATCCTGGCAAGAATGAAACATTCTAAGTCTACTCAAGACTCCACTGTGGTTACACCCGCGTACATATACATAAATACATATTGATGTTACATGACTTTGGATCAAATCAATTTAGGTAGTAATTAACCTTTGACCTCAGTGCTAAAGCATGCTGCCTCAGTGCCCAGGGGATCAATGCGACTTTTTCCTGCCCCCACAACACTCAGAAAGAGAATGACAGCAGGCATAAATTTAGGTGCTTAGTCTTGTGCATTTTGGTGTTTATCCAACTATATTAATACATATTTTTGATAACAATCTTGTATTTTTTATGTTTATTTTAATTACACATTCTTGTTTGGTTTGAATGAAAGGGTGAGATGAAACTACAGTCCCTTATAAAGCTCAGATCAATACGGATCAATATTTCTTCTGACATATATCTGCATCAGTGCATTTGAGACCCTCAGTCACACACTTATCAACATTGTCACCCATCTCAAATCTAGCCGCTCATCAATTATCAGACTGAATGTCACTTTCCCGAATTATCAAGCTTGCAGTCTGGCATTTTCACTCTACAGGGCACAGAGGAGCAACTAGAGAGAAATCTGAATGAACCTCTGTGGAAAATAGGTCATGCACGTCTAGGGCAAAAGAGACAGGATGTAATGAGCAGCTAGAAAAATATGGTCTGCTGGAGCGACAAGGCAGCCAAGGCAAACTTTTGTATAAATTCTAAATGAAAACAAGTCACCAGATTAGAAAATACATGAAAAAAGAATAATTTGTTAGAAATTGAGATGAGACTTAAGAAATGTCATGAAAATGCAAGGCAAAACTGATATGGTAAACAAACATGCTACTATATCATTGATGTTTGCAGGGATAGAATGCTGTATTGACAAATCAGAAGCCAGGACTGGAACAATCTATTTTACATAATACACACTTACACAGCTCTCTAGAATACTTGATTCTGATTGGTCAATATCCACAACCTGCAGTCCAAATTTTTTGTATAATTACCACTAAAACTTTATATATCACACATATTGACAAAATAGATGTGCTATATTCACTTCTCTCATATCGCAGTTTCTATCCTTCTCATTTATTTATTTTTTAAAAATCGAATATTTTATCTCCTTTTATTTATTTCAGGAAGTAGCTGTGCACTGTAATGCACTGATCCTTAATAAAAAATAGATTCACTCTAATATTGCCTTATGGCTAATTGTTTAATAGTGAATTTATTTTTATTAAGGATCTACACTGCACTATTTTAAGATAAAGCTGACTGACCAAACACCGCATGCAAATAAAAGATTAAAAAAAAACAATACAGTCAGATCATCAAGTCAAATACAGTCGATGTATCGATGCTGAGATTTTCACATTCCTCTGAGTCATATTTTAAAGGATTCCTTTGTAGCAGCAGAGAATAAACATGTTTTTAGACTGCTGAGTCACTGGTCGAATCCATTGCCGAAGCGTGCTCCCCCTCCCTTCAACAGCTCTTCTCCTCATTCGCTCACTTTCATCCTCTCCCTGGCCTGTTCTCTCCCTCCATCCCCCTCTCGTGTTCTGATCTACACCCACCCACCCGCTCCAACCCCAACTTTTTCTCTTTATCTCTGTCAGCACCCCCTAGCCCAGCTCCCTCAGTGCTCTCACTCTCCTCTCTCTGGTTTAATTAAAGGGGAAATGAGTCTGTGAGTGACGTGTAAGAGAGCAAGGTCTAGTCACAAAGAGAGTTGATAATGCAACTACTAATTCTTTTCTTACTGCCTCTGTTCCAATGGTGCAAAAAACACAGCAAAGTCAAATGCTACAGATAAAAAAAAAATAAAAAAAAAACCTTCAAAGGCTTCAAAGATTCAGCGAGACTTTTTTAAAGATTCGCTTTAATCTTAACATTACAAAAAAAGAGCAAGATCTGCTTTGTTTCAAGTTAGGTTATATTCCACGACAAGCAACTGACTTTAAACTGTCTTTGATTTGAAGAGAAAGTAACTCAATATTGTTTTTGGGACCTACCGGTGTATAATAACATATTTGATAAATTTATGAATATTATTATTAATCATTTTTATTTTACAAAAAAAAGACCATTAAATCTTCACAAAACATTTATTGTACTAATATATTCTCACTCCATTACCCAGTAATAGCATACTGAGATGATGAGAAAACTAAGGCTATTAAGGGGGTACATATCACATAAAACTTTTATATAGTTGAGTTTAAACTGTGTATTAAAAATACATAAAATCTCTGTAATTCTTG